CATCTAATTCATGGTTTTTGACAATCCTAAAACTGGGTTTTTTAAGCTATGATTGAAATGTGCAATTAAATACTTTTTTAAGAAGTCTCAAGGCTTACTAATGATTGCTGACAGAATGAGAGGTACATTACAGTTGTGGTTAAGCATAAATATCAGATTCTCAAATGGTAGTCTCCATTGATTTTTGTTTTTTTTAATTCATGCTTTTATTTCAAGCACTCTGGCCACGGTGGCGCAGTAGCTGGCAAGAAGAACAGAACCTGGAAGAACCTGAAACAAATTCTCGCTTCTGAAAGGGCATTGCCGTGGCAACTAAACGATCCTAACTGTGAGCTGTCTAGAGCCTTCCATGTTTTTATGGTGTTCAGACTAGGAACTTTCTTATAGCCCACCTACATTATTTTATTGTGTTTGCATAACTATAGGAAACAATTCTTCGCTTGAGAATTTTATAGTGGCACTCATCTAATGATACTATGTGTGTATTTCCTCATAACCGTATCTGTGTTGAATCTGTTTGTGTTGTCATGGGTGTGTGTTTTTTAGTATCATTGTTAACATTTCAGTCTGGAGAAATAGGTCCTGATATAATAATAATGATGTTTCTGTTAGACAAACTTCTTATTCAAAAGTCAGCTCTTTAAATTTGTTTCCAAGAACAAGGTAGGCCAAGTATAATGCCAGATTTAGGAGGGTTTCTAACAACCGGCCTAATAGCCAACTCTTTTACTCTTTGAACCAGTGTTTTTCAGAGTAAATATGTTGCAGTTATGTCCAAGTCTGTGTAAAACACTGCTATGTTCTNGCTGGAGCTCTGGGCACACTGTCTTCTCTGGCATGTCCTCTGGCATCATCTTACGTCTTGTAGAGAGCAGAGGTGGGGAACTCATCTGGAAGAAACTGACTTGAAACTATTCATATGTTTAAGGGTATCAGCATGGAAGCCATGAGTGAGAATAAAATGGTGCCCTCTGAGTTTAACACAGGATCTGTGGAAAAAACTGCCAGACCCTTGCCATTTAAGGATCCCAACTTTGTGGTAAGCATCTAAGCTATTATATATGTATATATATTTTAAAAAAAACCAAACAGCCACACCTCAGCCTCCAGTCTTACTGGGCCTGCAGCTGAGTTGGCACTGACGTCCTCTTCTCCCTCAGTCTGAGTTGCCACCTCCTCCCTCACGGGCTATTGTGGGAGGGATGGGGCAGGAGAAGGGCCCTTCCTCCTGATCTCCCAATGTGCCAGATCCCAAGGATTTTTGTGCCCTTTGTAGAATTCATTAAAGGATGCTATTTCAAGGATGGGTAATTTCCATGGTGATTGTTTCCCTTCCTTTTTTATTGGTCTCACCCAAGTTTTAAATGAGGTTTGAAATAACTAACTAAAAGAAGAATGCTCTTCATTGGTCTCTTTAAGAAAATCTAAGCTGTTGTTCTGTAAAGTAGAAATTGGGTACTCTTCCTTTCAGTCTTGAGAGATCTAATGAATTACGGTGATTCAGATTACAACATTAAAAGTTTTTTATGAGTTAGTTTTGGACATACAATATTACCAGTGTCTGCAATAGATTTTGGTATTCTTTTCCATTTTATTTTGTCATCTTCATAGGATAAAAAAAAAAAAAAAAAGATTTCCAGAAGGCTCGCCATGCCACGATTGAGGCTTATTTGGTTTTCCAGGATCACCAGTAATTTGCAAGACAGAGACTTGCCCTCAGAAGGGAGTTTCGAGATGCAATCATGAGTCTAAATCTAACTTTGTTTAATAAACTTACTTTTTAAATGGGAAATTTATGAGTGAATTCTACAAAGTTAGACCCAATAAAAGATTTTATTTTCTATGTTCATGCAGAAAAGTAGCCTTTTATTTCTACTCCATCACCATCTAATTCATGGTTTTTGACAATCCTAAAACTGGGTTTTTTAAGCTATGATTGAAATGT